GATACTTCTACAGCTTCCTTCCTAAGTTCTATTTACTTTGCTGTATCGATTTACACCTACACTTAGACGAACCAGAGTTAGAATTTCTTGAACCACAGCCATTGCTGTTCACAAAACTGAATTACTATATGCATTGGTAATTTAATGCCGAGTTCCAGGAACAAACGCAATCTTGGATCAAATACTGTCCAAGAAAATCTCAGCCAAGCATTCTTTGCACAGACTTGCCTAATAGAAAACTCATTTATTACACTTGTCAAACGGGAGATCAACCATCAAGGTTACGGCTCTGCTATCATCACTTGTTATTCATTGCTGCACTTTAGAAATATATAAGATATTAACATGGCTGAGGCCTTTAAAGATGGAAAATAGTGATCTGCTTAATTCTCCCTTTTAGGCTATTATTTGGAATCATACATACTGTGTTGTATCACTGATTATACAAATATGGCATTGTCAGATGTCTAGAGAACACACAACTTATGTATGTATGCATTATAGAGGATATCTGTTAAGCAGTATTTTTATCCAAAGTGGCCATGTAACAAAACGTTATCATGTTTAGAAAAAATACTAAGCTTTCTTTGGTGAAAAAGTATTTTTATGGGGTTTCTCTACCTTTAACTGCCAGGTGTATGAGCATAAAGATGTATTGTAGTTTGTGTGTGTGTGTGTGTGTGTGTGTGTGTGTCTTTACTTTTTTTCTGCTCACATCATATCTGAGTAATTCTGAATCAGAAGAATAAACTATCCTTTTAATGCAAAGAGAGACTTCCCTGCTTTGATCCTGCACAAGCTGTGGTGTTTTCAGAATGATATACTGAAAACTTTGGACACAGACACAAAACAAAGACCTTGAGTTTTGAGGAGCTATCATTTGCATGCTAGCTGTTTTCTTATTGAAAGGACATTTTTTTGTAATGATGCCAAAAACCAACCACCCAGTCTTCAATGGAAGCTAAAGGATTGATGTACATGGGGGCAAATCACATACTTTTAGTATTGGAGCCATAATATTGGCTGATTTGCTGCAAGCCCACCAGGACCTTTTGTAGAGTGTTAAAGTGAGACTAAACTCAGGACCTTAAATCTTAATAATGCATTCCAAGTACCCTAACTACTCACAAAAAATGTAGCTATGTGTGTATGACTCAGCTGTAGATCATCAAATCATCTCTGTATTGGTGTTGACACTGTCCTTCCTTCTGGAGGGTGGCTACTTTTGTTCCCCATGGTCTCTGTGTGTGTCTTGTAAAGTAGCCACCACTCCAAGCTTTCTTCCATGATATACTACAACCTAAATAAAAATGAGTAAACTAAATGTGTAGTCCATCATGGGAGCGAGCTTGGAGTGGTGGCTACTTTACAACATACAAAGGGACCATGGGGAACAGAAGTAGCCCCCCTCCAGAAGGAAGGACAGTATCAGCAGTGTCAGCATGAATTCAGACGTACAGCTACAGCAGTCAACATGTTAATTGGTACTGTTGAAAATTAGGTTTTTATTCAGTTATTTGTTGATTTTATTGAGAAATAATAAATAAAAGGATCTGATACAAAACAATCCTTTGATAAACAACCTACTTTTAAGTAGGAATGCACTGATACCGTTTTTTCAGTATCGAGTACGAGCAGTGGTGTATTTTGGTTTTGTGCTGCCCTAGGCAAGACTAAACTCGAGCGCCCCCCTAATCTAAATTTGCCCCGCCCCTTCCTGTTTAAGACCAACCCCGTCCTCACTAAACTCCACCCTCTTTAGGCTTCCTTTCTGTACATTAAAAGTAGATAACGAATGCCTATATTTTCACTGTCTTTGACCATCTCATGTAACATGTAAGCAGTCTCTGACCCTTTCAATTAACATGTCAGCAGTCTCTAACCATCTCCTGTAACATGGCAGCAGTCTCTAACCATCTCCTGTAACATGCCAGCAGGCTCTAACCATCTCATGTAACATGCCAGCAGTCTCTAACCATCTCATTTAACATCCCATGAGTCACTGACCATCTCATGTAACATGACAGCAGTCTCTGACCATCTCATGTAACATGACAGCAGTCTCTGACCATCTCTTGTAACATGACAGCAGTCTCTGACCATCTCCTGTAAAATGCCAGCAGTCCCTGACCGCCTCGTGTAACATGACAGAAGTCTCTGACC